AAAAAAAAAAAAAAAAAACAAACGAAACAACTTATGAACAGCAGATCCTGTGCTCATCTGTGCTCCATGCTGCAGAGCAAATACCGTTGACGACTGCGCATCCCACTACTCCGATGCGCGCCGCTTCTTGCGAGGAGGAGTGCGCAGGTTTATGGCGCCCTGGAACTTCTCACACCAAGTCATGATAAAGCCAAAGCTGCAGAGCAGAAGAAGTTCTCTTGAAGCGCGGAAACCTCTGCCAACCAGGAACCTCTTCAAGAAGTGATTCATTGCCGCACACGTCTTGGAACAACCTCCGAAATCCTTCAATTCAACAGAAAACCACGCTGTAAGTTATGTATGTGCATGGAGTCAGGGTCCATTTCCTAAGGAGCATTGACGGGAGCGACGCAGGGGCCCATCCCAACATCCAAAAAAGAAAGCTGCAGAACGAAAGTCGGCTACACTTGGACCGTTACATGCAGAAACGGAACTGAGGCTGTCCACAAATTTGGGTCGCCAATAACACCCCAAGCACTGTGCTCCCCCAGGAAGGGAAGGTGGTACGGACCCCCAAGTTGGGCCCCAAAATTACGAAGGGGATTTTGGTAACCCCAACCCCCAATATCAGGACCCTATGACTATCATATGATGGTTATAGGGTCCTAATTTCGGGGGTTGGGGCTACCAAAATTCCCGTATTAATAATTATGATGATCCCATCTAAGGCATCGGCCCATCCTTCCAGTCGTTAGCGTGGGCGGATCTCTGAATGCATGTAAGCCGCGGACGAGGCTCAGCTTGGGAGGGGAGATGTCGATTGAGCATGTGACGGCACTAGAATTTACCTTTGGATTTATAGCTATTAACAGTATGTCTAGTCTTGCTTGGTCCTGATCTACCTTGTGACAGCCTGGTGCGACTAACGCCGCCGTCTGCAAGCCAATACCGGGACCAGCACTTTCGAAGACACAGGACACACACCACTATATAGATCAAATCACCATCCCATCCCAGCAATCATCCAAGCGTACTCTGCGCATGTCAAAGCAATGGGGCCTTTTTGACCTGCCAGGCTGAACCACGCAAGCCCAGCCTTTTCCAGGTTGAGTCAACCACGCTCAGTGGTTGTCTCGTGACAGAGCTTTCTGTCTGACGATGGGCATCAGTTCCGTATCCGTCCTTGTCCAGTCTTGCGCGTCGAACTGGTGAATGCCCTTCCTGCCTGAATTTGCACATGCCGCAAAGACTTCGCATAAGGATCCACCGAGAGAATGTCCCGTGCAAGCAACGCTTTTGCATTTTCCCAGTTTTGGACGGAGCTTCGGCATCGTGTATTTCATGAGCCAGAACAGCTTGTCCGCGTACCCACCGTGAACGTTGTCGAAACCGCAGTATGTTTCTAGGCTAGGTCTCAGGTTCACTTCGAACTCTTGGGGGGAGTGGGTCCCTTCAAACACGAGCACGCAATTCAGGGTCTGCTCGCTCTGCACAAGCCAGAGATTGTCCACCGCCTGCAAGGTATCCTGCTGCCTGCAACAGAAGAGATTAGTATTTCTTTGAAATCTGCCTCTTCTATCTGACAAACCTATAACGCTTGCTAAGGGTTCCACTTTCATCCCTGAAAAAACCTTCAGAAAACCACCTGGAGTTTAAACTAAGCCATACTCCCATTCCCCACTACACACCCAAATCCTGACAAATAGTGTTGCTTCAGGTTCCCCTGCATTCCCTGCTAAGCAACCGGAAGAAAAAGGATGTGTTGCGAGGTCCCAAAAAACGCGCGGCCAGACCGCCAAAGCGATTCGGGGGTTTGGAACCTTGTAGGGCTTAGGGCTTTTGGGGTTTCAAGTTGGGTAGAGGCCTGATCTAATGTAGCCAAGCTCCAATGAAATCTATGATGGTGCATGATGGGTGGAAAACCACTGGTGGTTTCAGCCTGGTGGTTCATTCAGTGTTTTCGTGAACCAACAACTGCCATCGGAGGGGTCCGTCGAAAATCCGAAATGTGGTGACAATGGACAGGCCTCGTCATGACCAATAGAAAATCTCACAGCACCGAAATCACATGCCATGCCACAAACATTTACAACTTAGAACGAGTCTTCACTCGGGATGCGCCAGGTCTTAAACCTTCTTCCAAAACGCCAACATGATGACGCAAATACGTGCCAAGATTAGAACATCTCTAAACGCACCCTCAACGACAGGACTCTTGGTCTCGAATGCCATAAGACTCTCATACATATCCACGCGCACACACACATCGGAACCATTCTGTTCAGTAATGGTTAGCTACAAGCCGGGAATAAATACGTAGTAGTAGAAACTACATAGCCCCCAGTTTTCATCCCTGCACGCCAACTGAAGCATTGTATGTTACATCAGGTTACTCGTGGGCCACCAGGCGCCAGCCCTGCAAATGTTGGAGAATCAAGTCCTCCATCTTGAGGATTCCATGCCTTTGCAGGCTTGATCCCGTGAGAGTGCATGGTGCCAAATTGCAATACAGGTCGCAGTGCTACATAAATCATTTTGTCAGCGGCTGCCAAGAATTGCTACTGCTAGTGCTAGTGCTACCGTTGCTGCTCCACCCCCCCTGCTGCGACTATGACAAGGATGAGGACGACGACAACACTTGTCACTTGCTGTGCTACTTCTGCTACGGGTGCTGCTACTGCACCGACTTCTAACTCTTACAGCGCTGCAAATTGCAGAGTCGACTTTTCCATTACACCGCTGCGGTTGGAATAGCGAAAAAGTGAGGATGGGGTTAGTCAGAACTTGTAAGCCCTAATCTGCAAGGAACCCCTTATCTTATCATCTGCTTTTAATCCCTTTACCTCCAAGGCCTCTCAGGCTTCCAGTTTGAGAGACCCCCATGATGTATGACAGTTTCCAAAAGAGAGGCACCCCGATGTACACACCCAAAATACTGTTATCCTTGCACAGGTGCGCCCAAACGCGGCCCCTAATTTCCGGAGACCTATGAACAAGCACATTAATCAGTTTCCGTGTTATGTTCCACTGTCTTTTCCACGTGATTCTCTTTGTTGCAGTACCATATCTCTGTCCCTATCTATCCCTCTATAGCCCGTACATATACCTATAAAAGCTATAGTCTAAACTCAATACGCCCTATAATACTCCCCTTTATAACCCCCTATATAAAACCCCCTTTAAGGAGCTTTGACTGTAGCTCATATAACCTCCACATCTCACAATGCTACCACAACGGGAATGTAGAGCTGCGTCTGCCAGTCCTTCTGCTTTTCGTACGCCCCCCACGCCAAGTGCGCAAACTTGTATGCACTGGCCTAGGGTAAGGGCATAAAGGGTAGTGGGGTTTGGGGTATGGCGTACCATTTACATATATAGTCATATTATATGCAAATAATACAAGGGCTTGGAGGAGGCAGTACAACTACTTCCTCAGGCTTCTACATTGGGTGGGCATGGCTGCTTCAAAACTTCATGAGATACATGGAGAACATGGCTTAGAATCTTTAACCACTTTAGGGATGACAAGGCCTACTTATCGTGGCAGCAATCATCTCTTTGGTACTGACAATGAGTCCTCACGAAATTTTTACTGGTGCAGGCATGTACGGGAGTAGGGTGACGGGAGTCTAATCCCTAAACCCTAAACCCTAAACCCTTGCATCCTCAAGAACAAAACCAGCTTTTGATTCACATGCAAGCCACAAAAAGTGGCATGCTTGAAGCATCCTGGTCTTCAATCTCCAGCTTCCGTAGTCGCAGGAAGTAATGCTTCATGTCCTAGGCTGCCAACAGACCAAGGCGACATCCAAAACAGAGGGGGGGGTTCGCCATCCCAGGGCATGTATGTATGTATGTATGTATGTACGTATGTATGTATGTAGGTAGTCAATATACGGATGTGATCACAGTGCCCCTTAGGGAATGTGTAGGAACTATGTTGATAAACTTTCAGTTTCGCAAAGGCTTGTATCAGGAGCGGAGCTGGGGAGCGGAATATATAATACGCATATATATATATATATAGATACAGATATAAATATAATATGTATATATATTTTTTGCTAACCTCCCCCCAAGGACCAACCTTTCAGGTCTCAAGCGTAAAATGTTTACATTTCCAGAATAAATTACAAAACTGCCAGAACCATTATTGGCAATTCCAAAAATTCCAAAACGGCCAGAACCATGGTCTTGGATTTGGGAAATTCCAAATTCCAAAAAAATCCAATAATTCCCAAACTGGAGAAACTAACTTTTTGGATTTTTGGAATGACCATGGCTCTGGCCGTTTTGGAATTTTTGGAATTTGTTTTCGGAATTTGGAATTTTCAACAATCCAAGACCATAGTTCTGGCCGTTTTGGAATTTGGACTTCTTGCGCTTTTCGATTTTTTGGAATTTTTGAAATTTGGAAGTGCCAAATCTCATAGAACTATGGAAACCCAAACCATATTGTTGAAATGCAAAAAAGAGACTCCAAGCTCCAGTTGATTCTAGTGAATTCTTATGGAATCTAAGCAAACACTTGCGAAGAACTTATTTATATCTATAGATATAGATATACTACTACTTGATGAAGATATGCATGATTATAACCATCATCATCATCATCATTCCAGTCATATATTTTGTTACTATTACCATGATTATGACGAGGTTGTGACAAGGTTGTAGGGGTCCCAGTCAGGGAACTCATGACGACAGTTTCCCCCTAAGCCCTCTGCGCTCAGTACCCTGTGATGTTCATATTACTCTGAAACATCGCTTGTTTTAGTTCCAACCCCACTCAACTTGCAAGCGCGCATCGTGAAGGTCCAGGCTCGGTATGCGCAGTGCCTGGTCATGGCAAGTGGGATCCCCCTAGTGAAAACTTCACATTTGCTAGCACTATACGGCTTGCATCTTTACGCAGCTTTCACGTTTTTACTAGAAATGCTTGTCCCACTAGAGGTCATCCCCTATAAGCATACAGTCTAATATGCCCAAGTGGCACATCCAAAACACATTCGCCAAACGTAAGGTATAATTTCCTCTGCTCAGATATCTTGAGTCATACAAGATTTTGTCTATTGATTACAAGGGTTACGCGTAGGTGTTCTACCTGCGGGGTTCAATTCTACTTATTCCCAGCTATGAACCTCCAAATGACCTGGAATCATCAAAATCTTCATGGCGAAATGAAACCAATCTGGACAATCACCAACCCTAAACCTTAAACCCAATTGTTGTTATTTTGGAATCGTATATAGGGGGCACTTCTAGGCTCCTTTGCTTGAACACCTGCCACAGCATATGGGGGGTTCCCAAAATTAGGGGTGCCTTTTTGGGGTCCCCATAATCAGGATTATAATATTTTGGGATCTGAAATTGGGATCCCCCTATTTAGGGAAACTACCATATAGTTATGGACCCCATACTGTTGGGCTCCACATCCTAAATCCTGCACCCCAGATGCTGGTGCCTTCAAAGCCATGCCCTGAACAGTACGCTAAGCCCTGAACCCTAAACCCTAAACCCACTCTGAGCCCATGCTTCCACCGCTGCCATTACTACAGGGGATGCGCCTCCTTGCCATGCCTGGGAAGATCCGGTCGACCTTCCCCCGGGTAGAACCTTGCTTTGTAGTGTAGAGGATGTCCGAGATTAGGGCTCAGGGCCTAGTGGTTACAAACAGGCTCTCTGCTGCTTCAAGGTTCTTACAAGGATCCACCACTCCAGCAGGGGTTTTGAGGACGAATGCGCTAAAATGTGGGCTTCATATAGGGGCTCCTCATACTGTACCATCGAAGGTTTTATAGAGTAATTACTTCGCGTATCTTCGCGTGTAGTTCTAAGCCAGCGCGGCTATACGAGGTGATCTGCAATTTCTAGTATCTCGTACTTGCAAGCGAGGTTCCAAGCAGGACAGCCACAGTCATTGGCAATCACCCACATTGGGGTATTTCAGAAGACAGATCACAACTACCATTACCGCGAACCACCCTTGAGACAGAGGCACGTTCAAATTCCACTGACATGAGTCGACAAACCCCACATGAATGTTCATGGGAGTGAGGAATTATCATGACTCAGTTTATCGCCCAACTGATGTTCCCAAAATGGTATTTCAGCTAGGACTAGGTTAGTCCCCTGAACCTCCAAGTAGTGTATGAATCAAACCCTAAACTCTATAAACCCTATCCCCAAAATAATCAACTAGGCACCCTGGAAGCTTCCCGGCGCTCAAGCAATATGGCACTCCTGCGGATGAAGGAAAGACTACACCACCTCAGATACCCAAGACTCTATAGCCCCCCTATATTGGGGTTATGGTGGGATAATTATGGAACATGAAATGGAAACTACTATAATGGGGTTATATAGGATTTAGGGTTTAGGGATAGAATATGGCTTTGGGCATAAGGTAATAAGATCCCCATACACCCCATATTCTATCTACTTCAGGGGGACTCTAGAAATTAAAGTGCTCTGAATGATTTTGAAGTCTCAGGCTGCTGCAAGATTCTCTTGCTTCTCACATCCACGGTGACAAACCCTAAACTCTAAACCCTAGAATTAGGGATGACTTCCTGGATCTGCTCCTGCCACTCCAAGCACCAGCAAGGACGTCTGGTGAGAAACCTCCACGTCCGAAACAATATGTAGGGACCTTAAAGGAAGTAAAGCCCTGTGCGCAACTATGCAGAATCCTATACCCCCAAAAGAGCTTGAAGCCTGTAATTATGGAGACTCCTAGTGGTCCTATAGTGCCCTCTCTGAATACGCCAGGCTGGGCCCATGAAAACACCTTACGAGCAGCGACTCTCATTTCATGAACAAACAACATCCAGTCAGCGCCGCTGCTCATATTAGGTACAATCACTATGGGGGTTTCCCAACATTAGGGGATACCTTTTCGAGGGTCCCAAGAATAAGGTCTGTAGTATTTGGGGATCTATTTGGGGGTCCCCCTATTAAGGGAAACTACCATATTTCCCACATAATCTCATGGGCATGGGTTCCTAACTAGGGACCATAGTAAGGACTATACTAAACTACAACAAGAAGGATCCCTATGTCCATTATTGAGGGTCCCTTATTCTCCATAATATTGACAGTAGCTCATATTGGCACAGAAAGAGAGTTATATGAGTTTATCCAGTCGTCCTACAAGGATATTCTACTAGAGGTAATGGAAAAGAAAATGGAAGCTACGTTTCTAGATTACATAGCGATATTTTCCCTCTGTCATGAAGAATCAAATGAATAAGAGCATGGACAATGAAATGGCAAATAGGATTTTTTGCGGGTCAAGGGGGATTATAAGGTTTCCAGAATTTTGGGGTACCCTTTTTGGGGGGTCCCCACAATAAGGATTATAACGTGTTGGGGTCCATATTGGGGTCCCTTATTCCAGGAAACAACCATATAATCCCGTACATTAACCTAATTTCCATTTTACTGTTCATTCTGTTATCCATTTGAGTTTCCATTCTTGGGGGTCCTAATCTCTAAACCCTAGACCCT